GGCCCCGGGGCCGGCCAACGCGGACCCAGCCCTGCCGCGGAGCCCCAGCACACACCTCACCATTAAGCGCCACTGCAGCCATCAATAGCAAGGGCCTTTTCCTACAGGCGACGCGGTGCTCCCCACCACAGCCTGTCCTGGGGGGGCTTTGAGCAGGCTGCCCTCAGGCTTGCTGCCATGTGGCACTACCAGACACAACGGTTTTAAAGAGCTGAGTGACACCCACTGCCAAGGATGAGCCTTTCGTTGGCATACACGAAGGGGTGGCCCAGCCTCAGGGACGGGATGCTGCTGGGCCCTTCTGCTAGTAACAAGACACGACGCCCGCTTGGTAGGAGCTCGGTAGGACTAGGATGCGGCAGCATTTGCCTTCCCTGGCACCGTTTCATGCTCCCAGTCTGTTTGTACTCACCGGTCCTGGCTGTCCCTTTTCCTGCTTTTCTTGCTCCTTCTGGCCATCCGGGTCTTGGAGCTGTTTTTCCGAGCGGGGCCGATTTTAATGGACGTGTTCTCCAAGGCGGTGGTTCGCAGAGCTACCTTGTTGCCGCTCTGAGATGCAGAAAAGGAGGTGTGACCGGTGCAACAAGAGCACATTTAAAAGGGGTCCCAGGTCCGCGGGGACCGCAGCCACCACCCAGTCCAACCCCCCAGACGCTGCGTGGCGTGGCGTGGCACAGGCAGCCTGCCACGCAGAACTGGCGCATGGCTCTGCAGTGCCAAATAGGAGGCCCTGGCACTACTGCCCTCGCTGGACCAAACACTCCTCCTCTGCAAGCGTGCTAGCAAGACAGCTTTACATCTATTTGCTTTCTCTGGATCAGCTTCCAAAGCGCACCTCTGCCTTGGAGGCCCCACCACGGCTGACCACGTCAAGGCAGAGCTTCCTTAAGCCACTGGAGGTAAGCGCACGTCTTGCCAGCACTGAATGAGAAGAGTGAGGAGTCTGGACCACAGAGGAAAGGACCCCCTCTCGCCAGGGCCCGGGCAGGAGAAGCACAAAGCCCCCAGCCACCCTGCTCGTACTTCCTCTTGGAAACCTGCCCCAGGACAGGGGATGCCTTTGCGACGGAGCTGTAATAATTCACACACAACTGCTAGCATGGGCCTGCCCTTGGGGTATTTCCTGGTTCAGCCCACTGGTGGGCTCCAAGGAAAGACAAGCAGGAAAGGAAAAGGACAGCTCAAGAGCAGCCACCTGCCGGCAAACACAGGTCTCACCTTCAGCAGTAACTCCACCACATCCCTGTGAACGAGCCCCAGCACGGACTCCCCGTTCACGTGTGTGATGAGATCACCCGCTTTCAGCCCTGCTTCCTGGGCAGGGCTCCCATCTTCCACGCTCTGGAACAGAAGAGCCAGGACGCATTACCTGGAGGCAGCCCGAAGGTCGTTCGCGCAGTGCCTGGGTGCAGAGAGGCACTGGCCTCCGATAGTCTGCCGGCTCCTCTCCCCTCGGGGCTCGTCGCAAGGCTTCCTCTCCCTTTGCATTTACCTCCTGCCCGTGCCAATGTGCTGCTAAGGGTGGAGAGCACAACCCACCTCCGCACCCTTCCTGGGCCGAGCTCCCCGTCACTCACCCACACCATGTGATGGACCGCGTACACATCGCTGTCCCCCATGTACACCCGGATGGCACGCAGGGTGAAGCCATATTTCTTGCCGGAGCTGTGGATGGTGATGGGCGGTCGCAGGCTGGTGATGGTGAGGGAGGAATCTCGGCTCGGGGAGGAGTCACGGGATGAAGGGTTGGAAGACAGGGAGCGGGGCGAGATGGGGCTCATCAAGGCTCCACTGCCACAGTCATCTGCAAGCAACGGAGAGCACTTCGTTTCACCGGTAAAAACCCTGCATGGACCCCCGGTTTGCTCACCGGGCCGCTATTAAATGGGGCAGGGCTGAGATGTGGCTCACAAGCAGGAAGAACGTGCCTGAGAGGATGGCCTCAGCCAGCCGCAGAGGAGGCGGCAAGACCCTGAGCCACAAGTCACTTGTGTGGTTTTCCCTTAACTTATCTCAGCTGGGGCCGAGAGTGGGCTTGCCAGCTCCCCTCGCAGCCACATCCGCCTCCCCGCTCGCGTGTGCTGCGGGCAGCACCAGGGCGGCTGGGCAGGGGCTGCCTGCTGCAGACCAGGCGCGCTCCTCAGGGACATCTCAGGCTGCAGGAGGGCTGAGGCAGGCAGCGCCAGGGGCACAGCAGCCGGGGCTACTTCACGGGGGTCACCGCCCGCAGAGACAGATGTGCCTCACGGCTCCTCAGCAAGTCCGATGCAGCAGCCACTCCCCGCTCACCTGAGGTGATGATCAAGGACAGGGCTGAGACCGAGGCGGACTTGGGCACTCTGCTCCCCAGGGATGCCCTCTGCCTCTCTGAAGCATCCTTCTGGCTGCCCAGGCGGCGGCTGGCCCCGGGCTCCAGGCCCCGCGGGCTGGAGTTCTTGGTCCCGGTGCTGTTGCTCCGCAGGCGGATGCGGTTCAGATTGACGAGATCAGCTGGAGAGAGGGAGAAGGAGCCAGCAGGTCAGTGCTTCTGGGGGGCAGAGAGCAGCCCTGGTCAACGGCCGACCCGAGGAAAACTGCTCGCTGGAGCAGCATCGAGTCTAAGAGCTACTGCCCTTAATGCCACGTCCCTCCTCAGCGCCACCCTCTTCCCACAGGCACTGGCCGAGCTCAAGGCTGCTGCGTAGCAAGCGCCTGGCTGAGGTCACTTTGCTCCGGTGGGTTATTCCCATCTCCCCGAGGCTGCCCCTGCCCTGCCCTGCCCTGCCCGTCTCTGAGCGGGACCAACACTCAAGAGCTGTCTCTCCTGATGACCCAACGCGCTGCCATGACCCAAGGACCCGGGGCAAGGAGCTGTGCTCCAAGGAAGCTGCCACATACCCGACAACGTGGAAGACTTTGCTGCTCCTCCTGCCCCTGCCTCAGGGTCTCCCAGCACAAACAGCGGCCGCTCCCGCTTCTTCGGGCCCGGACAGGGGCTCTCATCCTCAGAGGAGAAAGCAAACTTGGGCATGGTCTCCAGGCTGTAGGTGCTGGTCAAGGTGGCTGGGCTATGGCTTCTCTCGTGCCGGGAGGAGTAGGGTGTCGAGCCGCAGGACGTCCATGAGCGGAGCCTGGTCAGGAACAGAGATGGTCAGGACAGGGACACAGCTCAGGCTGGAGGGACCAGGAACTGCATCGCCCCGACCTGCGCCCTCGCGGTGCCACGGGGCACATCCCCACTACGTCACTCTCGCAACCACCACGTCGTCCACAAGACCGCTGCCCCGGGGCTGCACCGCCTCGTCAGGATTTCAAAGCAGCGGCTGGGAAAAGGAGTCCCTGGCCACAATTAGCTGACTGCTACCGCATCGAACACAGAACCCAAAGCAATGCGCAGCCACGAGTCCAGGGCCACCAGGCTGGAGAACGACGCCCCACACCCTCTCCTCCCTGCATCTTCCTCTCCACAGAAGGACCTGGGAGCCCACATCTGCTGCAGCATCAAGGAGGCTCTGCTCCCACAAACCCAGATCCAGCTGGGCCCCCGTGCAGGTCCCCCCTCCCCGGCTCACCCCTTACCTGGCCTCTGTGTTCAACACCCGGCTCTTCTCCTCATCTCCCGAGCTCCTGTCCCACCGTTCTGGCCTGTCCTCCTTCTCCTCGCTGTGACTTCGCTCAGAAGATGAGAGGCTGAGGGCTGAGTGAGCTGCAAGGTACTCGGAGCTGCTGTACACCTGCAGGAGAGGGGCCGTGTTAGCGGGCAGCGGAGGCTGGTGACCAGGGGCTGCTGCAGGATTCCCGCGGCGTCCGACTGCCAGGCTACGGCTCAGCCACGGACCCAGTCTTTACACATCATCTGCAGGGATCACTTGCCAACCACCACAACGTGACCCCTCTCCGAGGTGGGACGTGCTAGCTGCTTAACAGTGCACGGCAAGGCCGCGTGCCAAGAGAGGGAGAATACCAGCCCAGTGGAAACACTGGGGGAACCTGAGCAAGCAGCAGCAAGGGACAGTCCAGCAGACATGCCAGATCTAACGCTTCCCCTCCTCCCACCCATTTGCAAGGTGCCCATTTGCAGACGGGGCTTGCACGCAGGGCAGCACCTCCAGCAACCCAGTCACATCTCTGTAGCCCTGGACGGAGGGTGTCTCAGGGATGGCTTTGTCCCCCTGCTAACTCGCCACCCGCCCTGCTGGAGCACGTGCTGCAGCTCTCCCTATGCCGCTCCTGCAAGGGCAGCCGGCTCTCCGGGCTGTAACGTGCCTGCTGGAGTGCAGAGCGCCCAACAGGGCACTGACACCCCCCGCCCCGTCCGCGTGCAAGCCCCAGGCTCTGGGGTGCAGGAGGGAAGAAGCAGCGCTCTCTACAAGGAGGCTGTGCCACCCTGGGGTGCCTTGAGAGCCTTTCAAGGGTGCCGCAGGGTGACACACAGTGTTAGCACTGTTAGCTATGCAAACACGATTTACAGGATAAACCCACAGATTTCAAACAGAAATCTGTGGTGTTAAAAACATTGCGAACTGTTGTGGTCTAGGTTCTTTGCAACAAGATAGTTGCTTTATTATTGCTCTGTAGTCACAGATGAATGAAAACAAAGAGCCGGCATTTTCCCAGGAGGGCCTCGAGTCTAAAAATGCTTTGAACCACTGTACTAAGCCCTCCCTCCTACGGGCTCCGCGGGCCACTTCCGATACCTTGCTAAAGCGGTGGGAGCATGAGGAGAACTGACCAATCTCCACAGACGACTCCTCATCATTGGTCTCTTCATCCTCAGAGTCCACGTGGCGGTACCGCTCCGTGCGAGCTAGAAGCAAGGAGGAGCAACAGCTGCCACGGAGCAGGCCCGCCATGCCCCAGCCAGCACCAGACAGAGCCCCACCGTGACAACAGCCTGGGACAAGGGTTCATACAGGAGACGAGCCCAAACTGGCCTTACTGTCAAAGTAGCTGGTATCGTCCTCGGACTCCAGCTGGGGGATGAACTCTGCCTTCTGTCGCAGCAGCCCGTTCCAGTCCAGGTTGTGGAAGAAGGAGTGATGCTTCACCTCGTGCGCACCTCCTAGCGCCCAGCACAGAAACCCGCCGTCACAGCGCTGCCCGTCGGCAAGCTCCAGCCCCCCGCAACCTCCCTGGCTCTCGCTCTCGCTCGGGGACGTGTCGGGGTGACCGCACCCAAAGCGGGTGACATGGGCACACTGGAACTGTGCTCTGTGCCCATCTGGCTTCGGTGTCCCAAAGCAAATCCAAGCCCCATGGCACGACACGGCTTGCAGGAAAGGCACGCTCAGGGCTGAACC